AAAGCCCCAGTAGATAGTTGTAGGTCATAGCTGCACATCCTTCTAGTTGCTGTATGTGGGACGCGGCCTCAGCATGGCAGGAGAAGCAGTGCATCGGTGCGTGCCCAGGACGTGAACCCGGGCCGCCAGTAGCAGAGTGCGCGCACTTAACCGCTAAGCCACGGGGCCGGCCCTAAACTAATTTTTAGATTATACTTCATTCTTTATGAAATCTGATATTTTTAAATGGAATATCATTTTTTGTTATATTAAAATTATATTCAGATCTATACCTTATGAAGTGTGTGGATATCAGGGTGTCCAAAGATGATTAGCTTTAGGAACTATTCTGATTTGTAGAATAAACTAGTATATTAATTTGCAAAATTACGCACGTGTAGTGCTTTTCAAGAATGATGAGAAGAAAGAATGTGTAATTCAGTAATCCTCTGGGTAATCCATAGTTGATTTGTATTCATAGCAGTATAGCATGTGGTAGTAGTGTTTACTAGTATGCTGTATACGCAGGGTATAGTCAGCTGGTATTAACAATGAAATATCCTGTAAAAACACAAACTCATCTTGTTGAATTAGGGAAAATGGTGAGAATGAAGAATTGCAATAGAAGGACAAAAATATTTATATTCAGCATAGTTAGCTCTTTACAGTATTTTATTAATAAAGCTGTTTTTAAAAAGGTATTAAAAATTTAACACAATTCTTTAATGGAAATATTTTCATTTTTATCTAGAGAGCTGTAGAGGGTGCTGTATCATTAGGAATAGTAGTCTGAGCTGGCTTCAGCGCTAATTTTAAGAATCCCTTTAGGTCAGAGTATCCAAGTTAGTTAATTTCTCTTGGATGTACATCTTTTTTTACTATTTTAACTGAAATTAGAGTTACTAATGTTGCGTAATTGATGTAGTTTGTAAAGAATATTGATCTAATGTACTTGGTTGCAAAATGTTTTTCATCTTCCAGATTCTTTGAATATAGTTGAAATTATGATTTCTCCACTTTATATTGGTTACAGTAACAAAGGTTTATTTTTCTGTTATCTACTCCCACTCTCCCCTCCAAATTGAGAATTCTGATGTTTTTATTGGTAGGCTATATGTAAGCGGTCTCTTCCCCTTCTCTTCAGATGGGTCTCAGTAGGTCAGAGATAACCAAACCATATAATGGGAATGTATATTTTAGGCAGGTCTGGTTCAGAAGAGTATCATATTTAGAAGAAACATTGTTAGAACAAAATGGAATTTAAAAACCTGGGTAAACTTTAAAAGCTGTTTTTGTTAAGATAGAAATCTGGCTTTTCTGGCTGATTAGTTTATTATTCAGCTAGGAGTTTCATAAATTCCAAACTTTATGGTTCCCTAATTTTTCTGGTTTAATGGTGATTTTAGAAAACTTGAGGTAGAATTATCTGATAATACTTTAGAAATCAATTTTTAGTAGCTTTACACTGAGTTTCACTAGTGCTGAAGAATTTAGAAATTATTTGAATTTGGTCAAGTTAGAGTGGTATGTTTTGGAATAAAAGGCAATAGTTAGCTATGTTTCAAAAATACAAAAAATGTTAGAGAAGTATCTATCATTCTAAAATGTAGACAACTTTAAAGTATTCACCTAAACCTTGCCAGGAATTTCTTCTTTTTTCCTGAAACTATATTTTAAATATTTATTATTAAGTTTTATACTATAGTTCCTTAAAAAAATTAAGCAAAAAATTATCTTCCCATTGCCCCCTCCCCCCAAAAAGTGAAAGAATCTTCTCTTGTTGTGGGTAAAAGGATTGCTCTTGGTCAAGCTTTCTTATTAAACAAGTGTACTCTGTTTTTGTTTTTTAACTCTCAAGGCACCACCTTCCATGGTCAATAATGAACAACGCCAGCATGCAGAGCACATATTCTTATCATTTAGGAAATCAAAATCACCATTTGCAGTTTGCAAGCATATTTTGGGTAAGTAATCATTTAAAAAATATTTTTACATAATCAAATCTAGTTTTTCTATCTTGAACATTAGATATTTTAAAATGCTTTTAAAATAAGCAGGTTTGTACAGTTATAATTTTCCATTAGTAATCATTCTACTGCCGTGGCTTTAAAGATATTCCATAAAGCTGGACAGAAAACTTTGTTTTTACTCTGGATTTTTTCCCCCCTAAATAGAATGTCCAGCAATTTGTTTTATGGTTGACCATAACATGAAGGCTGTTAATGGTGAGGAAAAAAACTAATATTTTTTCAATTGTTTTCAAGTGTGATATAATTTATTATAGGAAATATACTATAATATGTCTTATCCCAGTGTTTTAAAATTAAGATTGTTTTTGGAGTTTCTACAATTTCTTTCTTTTAGATTTTTTCGTAATTTTTTTTTTTTTACCGTATAGTTTGTTCTCAGCTTGCTTAGCAAGTATTAGTCAGTTCTGTGTAATAGGTTATCACTGTATATCTTAAAGCAAAGCGTTGATTTCTACTCTTGTAAAAAATGTTTTGTGAGTACCTTGTATCTGACACATGTACGGAAATGATCTCTTTCCATTAAAAATAATCACAAAAGTTATTTCTTGTCCAAGGATGGCATTTTCTAAGAGAGAGAGAGAGTGTCTTCTGTTTCTTAGACATTTTTCAAGAATACTAAGAGAATTTTCATTGGTCATTGTTATTTTATAATCTGATTACTGTTGGCTGTTTTTCTTAATTGGAGCCATTTTTTGTAACCCATGTTTAAGGCTCTGAAAGGTATTTGAGTTATCTATGACCACAGAATTGGTTAGTTGAGTATTAGAACTTAAAATACCTGACGTTTTATTCTTCTGCTTTTAGTAAGACTTGTCTGTTAGCTACCAGTACTCTGGTTTCTAGATCGAAATCACCTACAAATAAAGTTACATGTTAAAAATCCTTTACATATGAGTGCTCATAAGTGAGAATTGTTAGATTGGAGTAGAAAGAGCACTGGTGTAGGAACGATGAGATCCAACCGCCAGTGGTGCCTGCTGCGTGGTGTCCTTGAGGAAGTCACTTAACCTTTCTGAGCCTTTTGTCATCTGTGAAATGGGAATAATGATGCCATTTTCCTTAATGGACTTGGCTATCTTAAGTTGTTGTGAGGAGCAAGTGTAGTAACATATAAAAGCGCTTTGTAAACAGGAGGATAAATGTCATGACCCCCATTACCTCATTTCAAATAGCTTTTAAAACTATGATAAACTTAAAAAATGGTCTTTTCTGTTTGCAAGGAGCTAACAGTGGTGGTGAAGGTGACTGTCTCATTCAGGAGCTAGTTCTTACCATTAGAGGAACAGTTTTAATAACCACCTTTTAAATTCTAAATGAGGCAGTTTTGAATTTTTTTGTCTTTGAATGGTCAGTTTTTATACTTGGGTGAATTTGTTTCTGGCACTAAGAAAATTTGTTATCTTATGCCTGTGGAAAATATTTAACTCAATGTTAAGTTAAAAGAAGCAAAAGTGAACGTCAGTGTTAAGAATTTAAGGGAGCCTTACTTCATCCTTACTGCCTTGAAATTGTTCAGCATTAAGAGATTTAGAGAACCATTTTGTTAAACTAGTAACCTGAAATAATTCCAGTCTGATTTTCTTGACATATGCCTTAACTACATTAGCTAGGATTCCATTGTGTTTTGTCTGACTTTCTGTTGTAATTCACTTGTCATTCTGTACTAGTTGGGAAATAGTTGATCTAAGTTATAAGTATTTTATTAGAGTATATTTGTTTATACCACTCTTTCCTTTTTAGAATATGTATATTTTATGAAGTGCTATTGCTTTGTTATGATTTGAGCTTGTTTGGGGATACTTTTGTTTTCCTGATAAAAGTTTCTAAAGAATAGTATTGCTAGTTCCAGCCGTGCTTTTAAAATCAGTTTGGATTTTGAGACATTAACTATTTAAAAGATTGAGTGCATGTATTACAAGCATAATCATTAATGTACTGCAAGGCCCTGTGTTACATTAATGTTTACATCTAAACTTCACAGAAAATCTTTTAACTCCTTACTCAGTTGCCACCAGCACAGAAGGGTTAATTCCTCTAAGAAGACTTCTCATACAAGTGGCAGTCAATCGCAATTCAGAATTTTCACATTCTTATTTAGGGATTATGTGTCATTTTTATAGAACATTTGGGTAATATATTCTAATAAGGGGGAGACTTTCTCTTTGATGCTTCCCTTTTCTGGTCTCTTAAAATTCTTCCTTCCCACTTCTAACTTAAGTTTTATTATGTTTCTTATTTTTCTTCATTTCTTTCTCTTCTTATCCTTTTGTTTTCATTCTAGTTTTTATTTTTTTGCTCTTTTCTGTGTGTGCACATGTGTGCGTGTGCATGTTGCATGCTTGTGCATTTTGTCAGAAGAGCACTTGTAGACTTCTTCACCTTGGAATTCTTTGGCACTTAGGATTTTACTAGTTTTGTAGGGTTGAATGTTCCTTCAAAAAACCTGTGAGTTCTGTTCTTAGAAAGAAATACCCCCAAGCAGTGAGGGATTGGTTCAACACTTCTGGAGCTAACTTGAGCATTCTTTTGTCCTTCTCTCAGGGAGAAATGGATTTCTTTTATTTCTTATCTCAGAAGTAGCTGAAAGAAAACAAAATGAAACCTGAGACTTACTATTATTGGTTGGTGTGCATATAGGCATCATTATTGGTTGATGTGCGTAGGCATCATTAGGCAGCCTTTGGACCTTACATTACCTGTGCTTTGGACAGAAATCTCTAAGGCCAGGGAGGTGATTGTAGTAGCTGAACTTCTGGGGCTTGACTACTATTAGGGTTTTATTTTTCTTTTAAAAATATTTTTTTATGAGAATATAGTGCTTTTCTTTTCTTATTATTTACTTCACCTTAACTTTTGTCTTCATGGCTCTGTCTAGTTTCGGATGGCTGACAAGATACAAATGAATTTTATTTACGTAATTATTATCAAAGAAAGTTACCTTGATAGGAAGTGAAAGCTTCCTGCCCAAGTGGCCTAAAATAGTTTATCATCTAGACAGTGTCCCAGTCAGTAGAAGATCATCCTAAAAGTATTAGAAATTCTAGATGAATTGTGAGTTTTTCATGAAGACCTTGCAATTTCGAGCATCTGTAAACAGAGGGCAAGAATAAGGCTCCTGTGTCCCTGTGAAGTCCTAACTCATCTTCTGCTGGTAGGCCTCTGGAGCTCCTTCTAGCATCTTTTGCACATTTATATTATACATAAGTGCAGTATATGAAGGCTAATAACAATTTTTATGAGAAAGTGTAATTTATTAGGTTAGGAAAATTCCTTCTTTTAAATTCGGAGTTTGAGGTTCTTTATTTTTCGGATTCCTCCGTTCTTAGAGACTGCTTCTTATGGGAGTAGTAATTTAGAGATCTTCGTCTTCATTTAATACTGTATAGCAAAGGTATCTAAGAAAAAAGTTACTTTGAAATCTTTTTAATGTCATTCACCTTCTGTAATTATGTCGTCATCCTCGGTCGGTCCCCGCGGCCCCCCCCCCCCCCCAAAGGCTAAGATATAAGCACACATAATTAGAAATAAACGTGTTTCACTGCTCAGGACAACCAGAAGGTGCTTGTTTGGTCTTATCTTCATTGGCGTATGCATTTAGGGGTGGATTAGTATTGCTCAAGCAACATTTACCAGCCATGTGACCTTGAATTTCCTCTCTTAATCTCTTGGTGCATCAGTTTCTTCAACTGTAAAATGCAGGAATTGAATTAGATGGTCTTTGGAGTTCTGTTTTTAAAATTCTGTGAGTCCCTAAGATTTGCTTCCTTGTTAAAATCCAAGGTTAAGGATTTCAGGTTTCTTGTCCTTAAAATTTTTACTATTGTGATAGAAAATGAAGATAGGCAAACAACCAGCATTTTCTTTCAAGAAGAGGTTTATAATAAGAGATTATTCGAATTACTTTTATGAACCATATTTCTCCTTAAGTGATCTAAGTAGATATAGCTGTTGCTGTTTCAAATCCTCTTTGAATAAAACACTTATTTTTTTCTCCTAGAACTTTAAACACATCTTTTTATAATAGGTTTACATTTTTGGAAGCTATTGCTTCAATTATTGATTATATTTTAAGATTTCTAAATTTTTTGTGAGTTCTGATTATCATCTCAATTAGAATTCATGTTAAGATAGCATGGAATAATCAAACTTAAAAAAAATAAAGGTCCAAATTTGTTCCTCTTACTAGTTTTGGTATGTTCAAAATTCCCATGTAGTAATCTAGTATGATTGAAATTTATGTAGGGTATGCATTTTCTCATACATTTTTATAGCTAATTGTGTCAAGGTCACTTGTAACATTTTTAAATAACCTGAGCTTGAATAGGAGAGAAAATGATGTTCCTGACTATATCTTCATGCTCTTCTGCTAAATTCTTGAAGGTGCCATTCTATGCCTAGAGCTAATTTCTCATGGCTTTCAGATACTCATGTCTAGTAATCTTGGCGAATAACCTGGAGTCTAATCATAGACTTTTCATGGATTCACATGATGGTTATTTTTTAGAGCTTCGGAAAATTTCTACTTTTTCTTGACTTCATTTTGACTGTTTCTCCCTTTTGGTAATGCTGTTTGGAAAGTTGGTATTGGTGAATAAAAGAAAAAATAGAAAATTAACATAAAATATTTCTTAGGTATGTTAATTTTCTATATTTTCCCCTCCTGATTCAGTTTTTAGTTCAGATACTATAACTTGCTAGTTAAGGCTGGATCTTTCTAAGTGTAGCTTTGGGATTTTACTGAGTTTGATCAGTATTGCAATCAGAAAATTCACAAGAACTTCTCACCTTGTGTAAATATGACTCTTTCTTTTTCTTTAACATTTTGAGAAAAATAACCTCAATGGGATTCTGTTTGTTTCTGAACTTGCTATTGGAGATGAGTCGTCCTGCTGAAAGCTTAATTAGTTAACAGACTGAAATATTTTAACAGCATGGCTCATCACAAATAGTAATGTTCAAAGACTAGTTTATTAAGATATTTTGCAGATACAAAGTTCTGTTTTGCACAGGGTGAGAATCTCTTGGGAAATTTTCTGATAGCTTTATATTTTTATTTTTATTTTTTTTAAAGCTGTGTTATTTTTTAGTTCTTCATGCTTTGGAAGTAACAGTTGAAGAGAGGTGAGGAAAGTTTGTGAAAATTGTGATCGGTGATTAGCTGCCACCTGCCTGAGGTGTCTTCTGAGAGGAACTAACCTCTTTGTGGTGCTAGAGCAAGGTCACTGGATAAAAAAAAGAACAGGTAACCATCTTATTCCTTGTCTGAAAAGTTCTGTTTTAAAATTAATAAATGCAAAATGTTCAAGGGAAGATGAACTACTGTTTAAAGAAGTTTCTGATTTTCTCCCCAGAAACGAGTAAAGTGGACTATGTCCTCTTTCAAGCTGCCACAGCCATAATGGAAGCAGTTGTCCGAGAGTGGATTCTCTTGGAAAAAGGTAGCATCGAGTCACTACGAACATTCCTTTTAACCTATGTCTTACAGAGGCCTAAGTAAGTACATGGAGGAGGTATTGCTAAAATACTTTTGCTAAGCTTAGCCTTCTTGAGTTGTTTTTGTTTGCATTTTTTTCTTTATTTTTCAATGATTGATGTTTATGATTAAGCTCTATGGGGCTCATATTTTAAAAACTCATACACACATAATTGTAGGTTGCTTTGGTACTGAATGAAATAATACTTTTTATTTAAGCTTATAATACTAGGTTCTGTTTCTTTGAAAAGATTGTGCTGGATGTTAAGTGTTTTTGTTGTTGAATTCTGAAGATTTTGGTTATAAATAAAAGTTGATCTTGGACTCAGTCAAAAATCCTTTATAGTTATTCTTCTTTTGGTGCTTGGTAAGTATTATAAGATATAGGTGAGTATCCCAAGATGGGGTGAGGGAGGAAATCAGATACTATTAACAAACCAGGCATTACGTAGAAGTGTGCATTAAAAAGGTTGTAAAAGAAAAAGCACCAAATTCTTTAACAGTTTCCTTTGGGGAGGGGATTAGGTTTGAGAAATGAGGTGAAAGTGAATTTTCTTTTTACTGTGTACAATTACACAGTATATTATTTAAACGTTTTATGAGATTGTGTACATTTATTGCTTGTATGATTTTTTAAAAATATATGAGGAAAATTATCAACCACACAACTTTTCAGAGAAATTCATTTACTACTTAAAGTCTCCCAAATACCAAGTCTTCTTTTAAGAAGTGGCAGTGCACATTGTATGTGTGCTGTTTGTGCAATTGAATACTTTTTGCGTAGATGTTCATTTCCAAATTCAATGAAAAATATTTGTTATGCAATCAGAAATGCTGGTAATTAGGAGTGTTGATTAATGGTGATAAACGTGCACAACACCTTAAAAATAATTGAGCATGCTGTCCTACCTTTGTTCCTACTGACTGTTCACTAGCAGTCTCTGAGTTCATGATATTTAATAATAATTACTGGTATGACTTTAGCACTCAGTTAATTGCCAACTGCTTTACATATAGAAAAATGCATGAGAGAAAGAAGCCAAGGTTTACTTAGCCTCTTAACATTACAGGTTTAGTGGATAATGTGTTCTATAGGTGAGTGGATATATATGTATGTGAGGGGAAGGTATGGCTTATTTTTTCCAGTTTTAACAGAATAAGGAAAACCTGCCCCGGTTTCAAACCTTTCTCGTCTCCTTCGTGATGGTTTTATTTATTTAGTTACTTAGTTAAATTTCAGTTTGCTGTTTGATGAGGCCATTTGGGTGTGGTACTAGCTTGCCCTAGATCAGCTCATTTATCACTATTTTCCCCCACCCCCCAACATGGGGACCACTGAACTCTGGAGAGCTTTGGTAGACTTAAATGTCACAAATTTTGATTGTGTGCGTGTATGATCTCTTATATTATCCAAAATAATCTCACCCTTGAATAATTTTGATTAGTTCAGAAGCTATTTTAGAGTTGATTGTAGGGTTCCACATTGAAATAGTTCACTTATATATTTTCTCTCAAACTCTTATTTTGAGAAAAATAAAAAAACTTTCAGCAAAGTTGAAAGAATAGTGCAGTGAACACACACATACCCTTTCCCTAGTAGAGGGTCAGTTAACATTTTGTCACATTTGATTTCATATGTATATATATATGCATTTTCTCCTAAACCAGCTGCAAGTGTGCTGCAGAAATCATGACACTTCATCCTTAAATACTGTAGCATGTCTCTCCTAAGAGCATAATCTCAATACCCTTGGTATTAATAATTGGTATTTATATTACCTAATATAAGTCTGATTCCATATTCTGATTTCCCCCGTTGTCTAAATAATGTTATTTATATCCTTTTCTCCTTTATAGGTTATTTTTTTGATCCAGGATTTAACCACAGATTATACATTGTCTTTAGTTGTCATATCACTTTAGTCTCTTTTAATCTAGAATAATTCTGCCCTTTTTTGTCTTTCATGACACAGACATTTTTGTCTTGTAGAGTGTCCTACAGTATAGAGTCAAGTTAAAACTTCTGGTATACTGCATAGGTAGAATGCTGCATGTTATGGAGTATAGAATATTACATATATAATGTTGTGTACTTCCATTATAGGCACAGAATTTTTTCTTTCTTTTTTATGTTTTCCTCCTGAGATAAAATTTGCATAGGGTGAAATGTGGAGTACGCTTTTTTAAGGAGACAGTATAGCATAATGGTTGAGAAAGGGACTGTGAGTCCCACTTCTGCCACTTATTAACTCTGTGACCTTGGGCAAATTATTTAACCTCTTTGTGCATTAATTTTCTGATTATCAAATAGAGTGAATAATAGTACTTACTCAAAAGATTTTTGTAAGTATTGAATGTATTAATTTTTGAGAAGTTATTTTATATAGTCTTGCATATCATAAGCACTCAATAAATGTTAGCTATTATTATTTAATTTCCTCGTACTTTATAATTCTTGCCAATAGAGACATTTAAAACTAGTTTTACATACATTTCTAGTAGTAATATTCAGCTTTATGGACATTTTCTAGTAGTATTTGAAACTATTGCATCCCCCCAGAAGTACAAAAATTCCCTTTGGTCAACTCATATTCTTGCACATAATAGGATCTCTGCATTTATTTGCTTAATGAATGCTTCAAGTGTGTGTTTTGAAGGAATATTTGTCACTTCAGTCTTCACATAAGGAGACAAGTTTGTTCATTTGTATAAATGTCTAATAAATGCCTGTTATGTGACAAACAGTGTATTTTTGTGTGGGACTACAAGAGCATGCTTAGCATGGCAGCCAATCTGGGAGATCAGGTTAAACTATAGTAACAGATGCTTTATGTTATGTGAGATGTGGAGGGAGCCCTCCTTAGTAATGACCAGCCGTGTGTAGAGGAGCTGTTCAGGGAATGCTTTCTGGACAAAGTGGCATCACAGTCTTAGAAGAGGATATAGTTCAGAGGCCTGGAAGTGCATGAGCGTTGCGCCAGGAGCTGAGAGAAGTTCAGTATATCTGCAGCTTTGAGTGTACGTGGAAGGGGTGAGATTAGAGAGGGGAGCAGGTACCTGGCCATGAAGGGCCTTAGGAGTGGGTGACCATATCATTTCTGTCCAAACGGGGACACTCTTCAGAGTAAAAGAAAGCACTATTAATAATTCTGTTGGACAGCAGGTAAATTGGCAGTGTCCCAGGAAAGCTGGGATAGGTCCCACTGCTTATAAGCCATGTTAAGGAATTTGGGTTTTATCCCAAGGGCACATAATTGTTGTATCCTTGTGGCGTATCCTCTAAAGAGGCCGGGTTATAAAGTTCAGAGTTATGTTTTCTGAGCCTTACTTTTAAGAAACAGTTGTGAAAAGGCACTTAAATCTCTCTGCCTTTGTGGTCTAATGGGCTTTGTAGAATGCCTTCACTTGGGATTGGTGCTTCTGCCACCACACTGAGGAACAGAGCTTAGATATGAACATTTTAAAAGTTTTTTAGAATTTGTGTGTTTCTATGATGTATCTTGGATAGCTAGCATGTTGCTTTTTCACATTAAAGGGAGTGGATTTACTGCTGGTTGGAGATGCATATTAGATCAGAATTTCTCTGTTTATTGGTAGAATCTAAATCTGGCTCCTAGTGAATTGACTTACATCTCTTGAACACTGCCTGAAGCAGCTAGCACTTATATAGTGCTTAGTATGCACTAGGCACAGTTGTAAGAACATTTAGTCTTTGTAACAACCCTGTTACTGTTATCCCCGTTTCACAGATGAGAAAACTGATGCTCTGAGGGTTAACTGTCTTGCCCAGGGTCACATAGCCTGTAAATAATGGAGCGTGGATTTGAACCCAGGTCTTTTGTCTTTGGAGTCTGTGCATAACCAGTAGGCTATACTGCCTTCAGATGTAAGCAGTGTTATTGTAGCTTCAGGCATAGTGAGAAATTTTGAAGTATTTTGATATTAGATTTATGTAAAAGTTTTCACAGTGGTTTTTATGTTTTACAGCCTCCAAAAGTATGTTCGGGAACAGATTCTATTAGCAGTAGCAGTAATTGTAAAACGAGGATCATTAGATAAATCAATTGACTGCAAAAGCATTTTTCATGAAGTCAGCCAGTTGATAAGTAGTGGCAATCCCACTGTGGTAAGTGTGTCAACTCTTTGTGTTTATAAATATTTAAAATTTTTATTTTGTATTACACAAGTACCATTATAGCAACAGTAATGGATATCTACATAAAAGAAAAAGTGCACAGTCTAAGAAACCAAGCAATTTTCATTTGTTCATGTTTTCTTCTAGTCCTTTTTTATATGTGTACGTACTATAGATACAGTGTACTTTGCTTTTTCATTTGATTCTGTTTTTCCATGTTGCCATAGTGTTCATAATCATCATAATGTTCATAATCATCATATAGTATTCATAATCATATTTAATGGTGTAAAATATTATAAGCTAATATACCATAATATTTTTAACCACTTTCCTTCTGTTGAACATTTTCCTCCATTTTTAATAAAATTTTGACAGCTACTAGTGATAATAGAAAGGTTTGAATAAAATACTTGACATAAAAATTATTACATGTTGCTATGCTAATAGGTCATGGTATAGGATGACTACCAGGTGTTCCTGTCATCTGAACAAATTGAGAACCATTTTTCTTGACTGAATTACTCTGGGGAGGGGAGCCCGACTGTTGTTTCTTTTTCTTCTCCTTTCAGTCTCCTGTCTCCTTTTGGAGAACGAGTTGTGCCTAGAGAGTGACTGGCTGTAGCCACTCTGTCAGAGGCAGGAGGAGTTGGTGTTAATGATCAGCTGTGATCCTAAGTTAGAACTATTGACTTTTATCAGCTGAATGGTATTTAACTCATGTAGAATTGGGATTGCTAATACCTGGCTGTTCTGATTCTCAGGTATTAAATCTTTAAATATTTAAATATTTTTTCTCTTTCCCAATTTCTTTAATCATTTTATTTATTTATTTATTTATTTATTTTTATTTATTTATTTAGTGAGGAAGATCAGCCCTGAGCTAATATCCATGCTAATCCTCCTCTTTTTGCTGAGGAAGACCGGCTCTGAGCTAACATCTGTTGCCAATCCTCCTCCTCTTTTTTTCCCCAAAGCCCCAGTAGATAGTTGTATGTCATAGTTGCACATCCTTCTAGTTGCTGAATGTGAGATGCGGCCTCAGCATGGCCGGAGAAGCGGTGCCTCAGTGCGCGCCTGGGATCCGAACCCGGGCCGCCAATAGCAGAGCACGCACACTTAACCGCTAAGACACGGGGCCGGCTCTCTTTAATCATTTTAAAGAGATCTATGTGAGGGTGTACACCTTACAAATCTTTATGAATTACATCTTCAGTGGCCCCTCAGTGAGTGGTGTGATTTTAAAAATTTATGTAATTTACTGGATGGTTTGAGGTTAGGATGTGGTGGTCCATTTTGGGACGGCTGTACACATTGTCCCGTACTTTCCAGTGTCTTGGATTTCTGCTCCCCTCACCTTTTACCATCCACAGATGTGCACTCACCTCCCGGCTCTAGCCATCTGCCCTCCACTCTGGCTGGGACCCCCAGACTGACGTACCAGGGTCTCAACTGAAGGAATGTGTAAGCAAGTTGTTAGGACTTTGGAACTTCCTATACATACCCTAAGTATTTTTTGTTTTTACTTTGTAATTCACCAATGGTCATGTGTCTATTCTTTTTTTCCCTATCAACCTTATATGAGGAATAATTTACGTGCATTACTACATCCATTGAAAATGTACACTTTGATGAGTTATGACAGTTATATATACCAGTGAACTGCCACCACAGTCAAGATATAGAACATTTCTATTTATATTTTGATTTTTGATTGTGTGGATATTGTGTTCTATGCCATTTTTGTGGCAGATTTCTTTAAGAGTAAAGCTGTCCAATAGAACTTTCTGTGTTGATGCGAATATTCTGTATCCATACTCTCTAATATGTAGCCACTATACTAGCCACGTGTGGCTTTTGAGCATTTGACTGGTTAGTGTGACTGAGGAACTGAATTTTTTACTTTATTTATTTATTTTTTGTGAGGAAGATTGGCGTTGAGCTAACATCTGTGGCCAGTCCTCCTCTTTTTGCTGAGGACGATTGGCCCTGGGCTAACATCCATGCCCATCTTCCTCTACTTTATATATGGGATGCCTGCCACAGCATGGCTTGACAAGCGGTGCATAGGTCTGTGCCTGGATCTGAACCTGCGAACCCCAGGCTGCCAAAGCGGAATGTGTGAACTTAACCACCATGCTACCAGGCCGGCCTCGATTTTATTTAGTTTTAATTAATTTAAATTCAGATAGCCACATGTAGTTAGTGGCAACTGTATTGGACAGTGTACTTCTAGAGACGTTGATAATCCAAAGGTAATTTTATGTCCTTTTGACTTAATCTTAGTATTGTACAATTTAATTGTTTATGTAAAACTAACAACTTCAAAAATGTGTGGGTTTGAATCATTATGAGTCATTTTGACTTTGTTTTATGTAATGAGAAGCTCTCTTGAAAATAGTCCCCAAATAAGATTCCATTTAAAATTTTTGAGATAAAAATGATTGGAAACCTATTTTTACTTACATTAATCTTTGCACTCTCAAAATTTCTCTATGGGTAGACAGGGTCTCCATTTCTATGAACAGCTTTGCTCTTGAGATGCTGATGCTTCAGAGTTGCCTACATTAGTTGTATTGTTATTTGCATGGATTTTTGTTAGCATTTGCTGCTAACTAATGGCCATGTGTGCAGTCCATGGTCATTGATCGTCAAGGGAAGAACAAGTGGTTGATGTAACTAGCCAGACCTAGTAGGGAAAAGGTTTGGAACTGAGGCTGCTACTTGGAAATATTATCCTAGCCCCTACTGTCCTGAATCAAGTTACTCTTCGTATTTTAGATTCTTCTTAAGGACATATTGTTTCATTTGACAATCTGCAGTAAAGGAGTCCAGCTCATTGTGTTTGACTGGGATTTAAACTTGAGGAATCTAACCAGTAACTCTGGGATCTATATGTTTATGACTAATGCGTTTTTCCTTGTTAGTTTGGTGATCATGTCAGCTGGGATTTCAGTATTAAGACAGAATTTCTGTGGCTTGTCCTCATTCCCCACAAGTAGCTTCTTGGCAACTGGATGCTGAAGGCAAGGATCAAGAGTCGCTTGCCTCTCTCAGAAAGGAGCCCATACACAGGAATTGTGTTCTCCACTTCCTTTTCCCTGGGTAATTTGACCCACCACAAAAAGTAGTCCCAATGCAATGTGGCTATTGGGATTCTTTTGAGCCACTGAAATAATTGATGACCTATGCACTGCTCATCAAGCCATGCTGTGGCAGGCATCCCACATATAAAGTAGAGGAAGATGGGCATGGATATTAGCCCAGGGCCAATCGTCTTCAGTAAAAAGAGGAGATTGGCAACAGATGTTAGCTCAGGGCTAATCTTCCTCATCAAAAAAAAAAAAAAAAATTCCTCCATTTATACTGCAAGGTTAAATGCCCACCATGTGGCTGTCTTTGTTTGGCCTGGCCCAGCAGTTTGAAACTAGCTCATTCTGCAGGTCTAAAAAAATAAGGTTACAGACCAGTGAAACACTTAATGTATATTCTTCTCTCTTTATCTTTGTCTCAGACTGTTAAGAATTTGTGGGAGTGGTTCAAGAATTTGCTTAAGATTTTCTTGGTGTTAGAGACATGAATAGCAGTGGGAGAGAGGTTTAGAGCTGATAAGAAAGTAGAATGATAAAATCAGGGCATTGATATAATGTTGGCTAGAAACTTTTTGTGTGTGTGTGTGAGGAGATCAGCCCTGTGCTAACATCTGCCAATCCTCCTCTTTTTTTTTTGCTGAGGAAGACTGGCCCTGGGCTAACATCCGTGCCCATCTTCCTCCACTTTATGTGGGACGCCGCCACAGCATGGCTTGCCAAGCAGTGCGTCAGTGCACGCCTGGGATCCGAACCGGCGAACCCTGGGCTGCCGCAGCAGAGCGCGCGCACTTAACCTCTTGCGCCACCGGGCCGGCCCCGAAACTTTCTTTATAAAAGTGATTTTTGTTTGAAATGAAGAAATAATTGACTGATGATTTTCTATGGAGGAAAGAAAGGGTTGACCTCATGAATTAAGTTAGGTAACTAACTTTCCCTCCACACCTCTTCTAGAATGATGCTTCTATCAACCTTTTTTGGCTAGAAACTGTGTATAGTCTGGCTTTCCCTTTTCTCTTTCTAAGAGTATATTTTTTGGTGGTCCATCCCCTTGTACTAGTCTAATGTACATGTTTAAATAAGTTTAGGGGCAGTATAATATAATACAACACTGATTTTGATTTTGGATTCACACTTAGGTTTAAATCCCAGCTCTGCCATTTATTACCTACCTAACTTGAACAAATTAACTTCTTTAGGCATTAATTTACTAATATGTAAAATAAATGTGATAATATCCATTTTTGGGGCTGCCCAGAAGAGGACAGAGGACGTTAAATGAATTTAGTAAGCATTCAGCGAGTGTTTGTTTTATCTCCCTTATGGTCTCACATCCTTTTCTTTATAGAATCTTGGGACATGGACTATTAAATTTTCTCTTTTTCTATCAAATAGTATTTTAAGTATTGACAATCAAGAAAGTATTTATGCTATTATCCATGAAAGAAAACTAATTGTGTATTTAAAAAAACCAACATATTAGCTTTCCTTTAAATGCTTTAAGAAGTACCTAATAGTCTTAGATCTCTACAGATAGTTTTATGGAAAAATATCTAGTTCATAAAATATTTCCTAAGGAGATTATATTATTTATATATAATATGGTTTTCCATGTATCCTGATGTATTATTAGAGTAATTATGCTTGTACAATTATTAAATAATATGTTGTTTCATGCCTGTCTTTGTGGGCAAGCTGTTTTTCTTCTGTGGTTATAAAGGTTACTGTGGTTACTTCATGTCAGTTTGCAATAGTGTCAGACTCACTGTCTACTAATTTGAGAGAGATAGGTATGGACCCTTTACTTCCTAAGGAAAGTAGCTAAATTTTTTATTTTAAATTAATGTTTAAGCTAAATTTTTAATCTATTTCATTTTTGTTTTATTCCCTTTGAAAGTAGTA